TAGGTGTAGATCTTTCCTTCCAGAAGATCAGGGGTGTGGCTGAAAGACAGCAGTAAGAAGGAGCCAAGGAGTAGCAGTAGAAAGGCTGCAGAGAGTCAGGAGCCCAGTGGAGGGGGCAAAGGAGGTGGGGAAAAAGTGGAGACGAAAGCAGACAACAGAACATTGTTAGAAAGCAGGACAGGGTGTGAAAGGAGAACATTTTATGAACATTTTCCATTGCCACCCGGATTTGAACCCACGACATTGAATGAAAGGCGAACACCTCAACCTCTACACCACAAGAACCACCCAACCAATCAATCAGTCGATTACTGAATGATGATGATGATGATGATGATGATGATGATGATGATGATGATGATGATGATGATGATGATGATGATAATAAGGATAACCCGCACCTCACGATTACGAGTCCGATGGCCTGACCGCTAGACTACCGATCATTCAACCAATTAATCAACCTATCACTATAAATCCCAGGTGGGACGCTCAAAACAATCAGAAAACGACAAAAGCAGTTTTGGGACACCTGAATAGAAATAAGGGTCTTGAACATCTAGTTCTCACTGGCAAAATTGAAGGCAAACGAGGCAGAGGTAGGCCCAGAACAACAGTGTGATCCAAAAAAAAAAAACTTTACAACTTTTTCTGAATATCTCGCGCAAAAATTGTTCTAGAAGGCTGTAATTTGGAACAGACATAATTCATTCAAAAGGAATTTGTTTGATATAAAATCCGCGAAGAAGAAACGTGTTTTGAAAACGGAAACGACTAAAAGAAAAAACACACCCAAAAACGCAAAGTTCACAAATATTTAAAAATCTTGTACAGGAAGTCGAGAAAAGATTAGTTGATCTTTTTCCTTATTTTCTCTTTGAGATTCATTTTTCATCCCTGTGACAATTAAACAATATTTAATTTTGTTTACAGAGTTTTAAAAACCTAATGATTTCATTCTGAAATTCCCAAGCAGTGCTCCACATTCCCTCCTTTGGACTCGACACATTTTTAACGCGTCGTTCAAAATGTTCAGAGGCGCCCTAACACAAGGACCTGCTAAACCATGAGTTTTTAAAGCCACATACACTGTGCATGTTCACTAAGAAGTGGCTTCTAGAGACAATATAGTGGGGTGCCCAATAAACATCATTTTTTGAGTTAACATATCCCACAGGGTGAAAATTTGCTTTGCACTAAACCAAATGTCATCGAGGAAATGATCCCTCTTTACAAAACAATCGAGGAATCATGAGCACATTGCCATGCTCTGATCCATGTCATCTCGGCCTTACGAAGATGAACTTGGTATAGTCGCAAATTAAGATCTGCCATGAGAATGCAGACTGTTGATGTGCAGGAAAGTCCTAGCTGCTGATCGTCTACGTACAGACGTCTCATGGGACTCGGTTACTGAAACCTGCACTCTGGTGACGTTTAAAGGGCTGCGCATGGTGCGTGTTCGACGTGAAGTGGTCATTTTTATAAAGATTTTTAAAGTTTTGATTCGCTATAGATCCAAACTGACGGAACTTCTCTACTCATGACGCCAAAGGTCTTGAGGGCACCTAAGCATTCTCTCCATGCCGTGCGCAGAACTTACGAAATGTCAGGGATGGTGAGTTTGTGGAGAGGTAATGTTCAATACAAAAAGCTCTCTGTTCTTTACTAAACGTAGCCATGATCTCAGCAGGCAAACAAAATTTGGGAAAAATAATATCTGCAGACTTCTGTTGACTTGTTAGACTGCTGTAGCTTGCAATATGGCACGATTGTTGCAACTTTTAGTGGTAGGCCTAATGCTAACTGGTGCGTCACGCTATGAAAATGGCGACAAGGTTGAAAATGGGTTGTTTTTTTTAATGCACTATGTAGAGCAAAACCATTTAATGGACTTACCTAAAATACATATCAGAGGAAATTCCTTTTGGCTTCCAAACGTTATGTTCAAATCTGAAGCGCAAAACTTCAGTATGGAGGAAGATATTTGTGAGGCAGCGTGGTGGAATCAGGCTCTCGTCAAAATAATCAAAGTGAAAAAACCTGCATTTTTCCGCAGGTTTGTGAATTTTAATTTAATTTTTGTTTTTTTGGCTCAACACCTTTCGTGCCCATTAAATAGGTAATTTCTTTGTGGATTTTTCTGAAAAATGTTGATTAAAGGCACACAAAAATGTAAATTTTCAGTTACCATGGACTACTAAGCAAAGGAAATAACTCATCTTTGGCGGCCATTTTCACGTTAATTTTACTTCTGAAAACGGGTGACCCCCACCTCCTTCATTCGCAAATATCTCGACTTGTATTCAAGATAAATGGATATTTTTTCATCCACGTAAAGCCAAGTGAACATGTTTTAAGATGATACCAATAACTCTACACGCCCAAAAATTGACGAGAGCCTGATTCCACCGCGATGTTTCACATATTTACAAAACAAGTTGTAAAGTTTTTTTGGGGATCACCCTGTATTTGGGGAACCTAAACAAATGGGTAACAGGGAAAGATCAGGGAAACATAGCTTTTTTGAGAGCATCCGAGCAAAGGAATAAATGGAGAACCATGATCGCCGATGTCTGTCGCAGATCTGGCACTGGATGATGATGATGATGATGATCGCTATAGACCAATCAATCTATCAGTTATTCCTTATTGATTAGCTAGTCGTCTAATTCATGACAGCTTTATCAATTTGACGAAATAAATATTAATTAGCCACTCAACTATCTATCTATCTATCTATCTATCTATCTATCTATCTATCTATCTATCTATCTATCTTAGTCCTAGTGGAAATTTGTTCATTTCACATGCTTATTTACTCTAAATTATTTATTTCTTAATGTAGGTTTTACGTCCCTATCAACACAGTTAAGATCATTTAGGAAGCTGGTTTCTAACCATGCCTGTTGGGGCCAACCCGGCCTGAGAGGGATGCAAGATCTCAGCAGAAAGACCTCCGAGATACTCGATTTTTACCATCTAGCATGAGAATTTTGTCAGAATGAGCATAGATGTGTGTTGCTCTTTAGAGTATGTATCTATACATAACTCCAAAGGTCTTGTACCCCCCTGGGCGGTGCCACTGACTGAAATGTCTTTAGGCCATTCCCAAAGGGGGGACATTTCTCGTTCAAGCACAGTAGAATTGTAAATGGGCTGATTCAGCAATGTCACGCTCATAACTGTGCCTTATCTACAACAGGAAACTGCTGCTTTTTCTTTCCTAATCCTTACTATCGTCATTTTAAAATGTTTCCTCTACTTCTTTTGTATGTTCTTCACACTCTTGTGACCCACTATTTCCCCGGTGCCTTGATAGTCGAAGCAAACTTTGTGCTGTTGAAGCTAGCGAGGTGAGCAGAATAAGTCTGGTTCCTTGTAAAGACTTCTCTGTTAACATTCACCCCTTGGCGCTCATATGACCTTATGCAGTTGCGAGAGCCGTAAAATCTCTACAGACAGAGCTGTAGATCCTTTGTTGCAGATGGCGTAACGGGTAGTAAGTAAGTAGGTAAGTAAGTAGGTAAGTAAGTAAGTAAGTAAGTAAGTAAGTAAGTAAGTAAGTAAGTAAGTAAGTAAACGGAAGCAAGCTTTGGTTCAGTACTCACGGTTAGTGGCTACACAGAGTGGGTCTTTGCTCTGTACAGGGCAGAAAAGACAGGCCACAAGAACGTTGAGAATGACAATCAGGCCTGGTAAGATGGAATATAATATCGTAGTAGATTAATTTCTTGCTGTTGATGTCGGTATGATTGTTGTTGTTGTTGCTGTTGTGGTGGTGGTGGTGTTGTTAATTTTGTTGCTGCTATTGATGTTGATATAGTTGTTGCTATTGTTGTCGTTGTTATTGATCATGTTGTTGATAATAATAATGATGATGAGACGAAGTTTGTTTGGGGGCTCTCATTCAAAGGTCCCGGGTTCGAATCCGGGTAGCGATGGAAACATTTTCTTCTCTAAAATTGTCTCCTTTCACCTCCTTTCCTGCTCTCTAGCAATGTTCTGTCGTCTGTTTTCGTCTCCACTTTCTGTCCCCACCTCCTTTGCCCCCTCCTCTGGGCTCCTGACTCTTTCTGCAGCTTTTCTACTGCTACTCCTTTGCTCCTTCTTACTGCTGTCTTTCAGCCATACCCCTGATCTTCTGGTAGGAAAGATCGACCCCTAGCCTTCTCGGTCAAGGGCCAAAAAATCTCGGAGGGCCCGTGTGCAAGTTGCGCACGTTAAATATTCTTTGGTGGTCTAAAATCAATAAGAATAAGCTTCGGTCGCCACCCGGGCAAAATTCAAAATTTCCTACCTGCTAAAAATGTTTTGGTGAGTCCCGCGCGCTCATATGACCTCATGCAGATGCGAGTCGTGAGGCAGCGTGGTGGAATCAGGCTCTCGTCAAAATAATGAAATCGAAGAAAACAGCAGTTTTCTCCCTGTATAGCCATTTTTATCAAATTTTTGTTTTTTGGCTCAACAACTTTTATGTCCATTTACAAACACATTACTTTGAGGATTTCACCGAAACGTCGATTAAAGGCACAAACATATAAATTTACAGTTTCTATGGACTCTCCAGCTTTGGAATTTACCAAGCTTTGGCGGCCATTTTCTCACTAATTTTACCTCTGAAAACAGGTGACCCCCACCTCCTTCTTTTGCAAATATTTCGACTTGTATTCAAGATAAATGGATATTTTTTTCATCCAAATAAAGACAGGTGAACAAGCTTTAAGATTATACCAATAACTCTACATGCCTAAAAATTGACGAGAGCCTGATTCCACCACGCTGCCTCACGGTACATGAGGGCGTACACACAATATGACATAGACAAATAAAGGAGAAATAAGGGAAAGGGGATACTCAGAGAGAGAGAGAGAAAGAGAGAAAGAGAGAGAGAGAGAGAGAGAGAGAGAGAGAGAGAGAGAGAGAGAAAGAGAGGGAAAGAGGGGGAGGCAGGGAGAGAGATGGGGAGGCAGGGAGAGAGAGGGGGAGAGAGAGAGAGA